TGGGTGGGGAGGCACGAACAGATCAGTTCAGCCTCCTGAGCCCTTCCACCTTTGATGGCATTGATACTGTTGGCTAAGGGTATTTCCCAGGCTGCTCTCAGGAGTGGGCTTGCCTCTTTCCTGCATGGCACGTTCCCTAAGCATAGCCATGGAGTGCCATGGAGGGGAACACAAGCCCTGCATAGCTCTTCAGCCCCAGCACTGAGCGTCCTAGCAAAGAGGTGGGGAGACCCCAGGTCCTGTGCACAACATTAGTGAGGAGACCGTGGGCAGCGGACAGCTTGGATGGCCTTCCAGCCCCTCCAGAGGCTGCTTTTGGTGACATACGCACATTGACTTCAAGCCTGGTAATTGTGGTTGCCTTCCCTTCAACCTGACTTTGGAAAATTGTCATGCCACGGTCTCCAGCACTTTATTCCTTTGCATGTCCAGCGAGGTGGTTTCTGGATACAAACTAGTCCATGCCTGTCAAAATGCTGGATAGGAGGCAGAGCAGGATAGGACACTGGATAATTTCCCTGAGCCTTAAGGCTCCAGAGAAGAAATGACCCTTTTTTTCTCCTGAAAAATGAAAGAATTGCAGAGACAATAAACAAAGAGCTGCATTAAAAGCTCTTTTTGCAGGACATCGTGAAGATTTTACTGATACCGTACTCCCGTGCAGGAGAAGGGATTAAGAGTGTTACAGGACAGATTTACAAACCTTGGAGAGAGTAAGTATCCAACAGAAATCTTTGGCAATCCCCTTCCCTTCCTCTTCTGGGTCTCACCCTGGCTTCTGTTAATACTTAGAACAAAACCACCATCTCTTGCTTATTTTAATATGTTCTCTATTTTGCCCTGAACCCAAATGAAACATCAAAGGTCTGGCTCAAGCACTTGCAAGTAAAAATAGCTCTAAAGCCAATATATTTAAGGCCCTTGAATGATATCACTGAAATAATTCATCCTAAACCCATGAGAGGGGAATGGTGTTGTTTGTTAAAGGAATGTGTGTTGTGCTGATAGTGCACAGTACTGACATGTAAAGAGCAATGAGTGATACTGCAAAATGAAAGAAAGGTGAGAAAAGGGACATGAAGACCGCATTGCACTGTATTGTGGAAGAGGAGCAAAATATATTTAAGATAAAAGCCAGTCTCAAGTTGCTTTTATTTTCTCCTTCAATCTGATCCTTCCCTTCTTAGAAATTTAGATTTCAATATGTCTTTCTTGGTACACGAGAGTATGGTAAATCTTGGTCCGTCCGCGGTATGCAGGACCATGACCCACTTTTTCCCATATAGTACTACAATTTATTTATTACCATTTAGGACTCATTCTCTGTGACTTTCCCATTTTTGAAGTAAGATAAATCAAGGCTATGAAAACATTGGGCACATCCTGTGTAGTCCCTGTGTATCAGATTTTTGTCTCTATTGCTCTGTATTTGAACAAAACACTATGCTTTCGACTCTCTGTCACTACCAACTTCTGCCTTAAATTCCTTTGCTTCACAGGTAAATAATGTTTTCTCTTTTCGTCTTCTAGTAACAAGGTAAATGCACCTTTGCATTTTTCCTTACTGCCTTTACATCTGCGCTTTCCCACTGAAACTCAGGCAAGGGTAGCTTGAGCCACTGCACTACCATTACCATTACTGGAAGAGATCAGTATAAGTAACTGGCTTCCTCTAATCTGATGTTTTTCATCACCATTTTTCAGCAAATGGTTCCCTAATGCAGCATTTCTAACAAGTCTTTCTCAGATATGATGGAGGGGTGCCACAGGGTGTTCCATAGATTCCTGCCCATCTCGACAGAGTTTATGAAATCTCTCGCGTTATGAGGGAGGATGTCATTAATAGGATGGTACTTGAAAGAAGTTGGGAAGTATACTTTATTTTAAGCACAGATACACATCCTTCATTGAAGTGAGTGTAGCCTCATGGCTCACCAGTGAGGAGCATGGACATGACCATACGGAGCAGATGCAGATTTCAAACCACTGTCTGTGAGCAGTGCAGTCAAGAGTCCTATTAGCTGAGCCAGAGAAGAGGAGAACAATGGGTCAAAAATGCCCAAATACAAAGGGGCAAATGCTGGAGGGTGTGAAAAAAAGCAGACCTATGCCTTGCAGCCCTCAAGGCTGCTCTTTTAACATGACGGCTCGGCTCGCTGCATTCATTTAAGCAGGATGAACAGAATAAAAAGAGCTTGTTGGTGTTGGATGCTGAGGCAGTGTTTAAGACATCCCTGACTCACAGCTCACAAGCTGGGACTCGTTTTGCAAGTTCAGTCCCTGTTCAGATAGGATCAGGGAATGTCTCTGGGCTGGATTGCGAAGGAAGCAGTCTTGCCAAATATGCTCTGCCCACAGCACCGTCCAGACCCGTCAGGTGATATTTCTTCTAATTTTACTAATGTATGTTTGGCCCCGATTCCATGCTACCTGAGGCTACAGCCGTAATAAAAACACGGCACACATGCTGTGGGTGGGTGCATGCAGCTGGTGGGAGTTGAGGCACGTGAAAACGAAAAATACAACCCTTTCTTAATTGCAGCACAGAAATAAAGAAATAATGTTCCTCTAATTCCCTGCCTTCTCCCTCTCTGTGGCACACCCTCACCCATAGCCCTGTTAGTTGCCATAGAAGATGACAACAGGTTTCTTCTGTAAGTAGATTGCTCTGTACCCTGAGCAATGCTTATAATTCCAGGCAGAAGTGGGATTATATGCTACACACAGCTTGCGTTCAGGTGTGGCTCCTGTGTTAGGACCATCCCACATACCCACAAGGTGGGTTACACTGGTGGATGGGGTGTTGGCAGTCTAATCTCTCGCTGAGGATGAAACTGTCAAGCACAGTCCTGCAGGACATCCACTCCTAGGATGGAGTGAAAGAGCCCTGGGCACACATTTATTTCCTGCCCATGAGATACTTCTCTGAGGGAAGTTGGCTGTATTGCAGCTCTGAGCTGTGTGAAAATCTCACTAAGAAGCTCATGGGTTTAGAAAATTTGGACTTCTTTGGGCCATGGTCCCTCATGAATATGCAACTTACAACAACAGCACCATTATGTCTGTAGAAAAGAAATTAAAACTGAGGCCCAAGAGAAGGCACAGGCTTGATGAGGAAAAGCAAAGCTAGTGCTAGCATCCATGAGACTTGTTAGTGAAGGAGCATGGGGAACGTGTTGACTTTAACCAAGAAACATTGCCGAGCCTGGGACCAGACCTCTGGTTGTTTCTGGGCCAGGTGTGCTGCCTCGGTGAGGGTGTTTGCCCTGGGGGCACATACCTCCAGCTACCAGTCCTGATCCTCACCCTAAAAGGGATGGGGCAGGGAGGAACTCCTTGATGTAGCCCTTGTTTCTTCTCTCAGGATATAAACACAGGCATTAGTGGGATAATCCATCAAAGGACCAGAACATGCTGAGGTACAAATATCATGCTCACCACTGAAACCAGCCACCCATTGCAGCTCTTGATCTCCCTGTCACATCACCCCACTAACACGTTCTCTTGATACCACTTGTTAGGAGTCACCTTGCTCTCCAGCAGCTTTTCCCACTGGAATCTCTTGCAGAAAGAATCAACATGGGTTAGAGAAACCCATGGATAGTGCCGAGAAGACAGTTTATATACTGGGAAATTTGGAATTTTAAGGACCTGTTGAAATTTCAAGCTTTTGACATTAGACCGAATCCTTGTTTCTGAGCTTATAATGAGCACTGTAGATATCAGGAATATTTTCAGTCTAAAAATTTACATTCAACACACATAGCACAGTCTATTCATGTTGGTTTTCAACAATAAAATGCAACAGCATTTTATTTACTGGCAGTATTTTCTGCTGGCTGATATTTAGCAACTGCTGATGCTCAACCCTGCAGGATGATATGCAAGTAAAGATGATGCAAAAAATAAAAAAAATGGTCACTTCCTCCTTCCACTTCTTCTTCTCATTGAGTTCACATAGTTAATGATTGCTTTTTTCCACTGATCTGTGCTGTCATTTGTCTCAGATGCCTTAAAAACAATTGCCCAAGCAATGCACTGTCATCTCAGAAGGAGTTTCTTTTCCTTACTCTCTCTGGGGGAACCTCCACCCCTCTCTAAGCAAAATACATGAGACGCTAAGGCTTAAAATTTATGGAGCCTGATTCAAAAGCCAGGACATCTCCTGGTCTCAAGGGAAGGGAAACGACCCTTGGCTTATTCTGCAGTCACTCCTTTTCAGAGAAGGAAGTGCTAATAAGCACTAACTTGAGGCAGAACAGCTTAGGACAAATGAAGGCCAAGAAGCAGCCGCATAATTGCTGTGACTGGGAATAAAGAGGAGCCAAGGAGAACATGTGAAAAGTTTCCCTTGTGAGTGGTGCTCTGCAAGTGATACACATCAGCAGTCATGTTAATGTTTGAGGTGGGAGCTACCAAACACCCAGAGCTGGCCCTGGGGAGCTGCTTCCCCTCCCAAAGCAGATCAGCTGGAGCCCACTGCAGGAATGGAGCGGTGGGGACGGGTCCATGGTTGCAACAGGGGAGAGGAGACAGAAGGGAAAGGCAGCACTGGGAAAAGGAAATGCATAAAAAACCGCCGCAGACGCTGGTAGGAGTTAGACATGGAGAGAGTACATTGCACACCCTGCACATACGTGAGCACTTGAGCAGTTTGAGAAATAGTTCTGAAATGCGGTCATGCTCTCCTAGAGGAAACCTCCGGTGAGATTTCAAAGTACAGCATCCTCAGGCTCTCGGGATCCCTCCTGGAGGTGTGTCAGGGCACTTGCTCCAGCTGTGTCCAGCACCTTCCCCTTCTGATGAGCCTTCCCACAGCCTCCCTGGTGGGGACCTGTCCCCTTGGCTGGGCCACCTCCGAGTGGCCCAGGACTGGGTCCCCCTCCACATGCCCGAAAAGTGACCATGCTCCAGGCCCCAGTGGGGCACCACACACACAGCAACACAGACCCAACTCATAATGCAGCTGGAAGTCAGAAGTGGCCATTAGTTTGTCTTACCTGGCTTGGCAATCACAGTGACTTGGTTAGGCAAAATATTTCAGTCCTCTCAAGACTATAGGGCCTCAGTCCAGAGTCTGGGAATGGGATAGACCAATCCTGCTGTTGTCTGATGCCTCGTCAATGGCAGAGAAGGGCTTGGCTGAGCTGTACCTCCATGTTACCAGCAGGCAATCAGCAACCCACTGCTGTTGAGGAAGGCGAAAAGAACCCAAGTCCTTGCTTTCTGATCTCAGGAAAAAACAGTTTTGAACCTCAAACATAGTAACCAGTTTGACCCTAAGCAAGTTCAAGTCAAGAGTCAAAAGGGGATGTGGCAACACTGCCATGTACAACTGTTGCACCACTTCTCTTGTTACACTTCCACTTATTGCTCAAGCACAGTCCACAGCCCGTCTGGCCAGGATTTGCCAGTGTTATACTGAGTGCTAGTGTATGCCATCCTCATTAGTAACTGTTAACAGTTCCCAAACAACGTGTAAAATGAACATAAGGAATTTCTTAATGAAAGACTTGATGCTCACAAGAAGTTGTGCATGCCATTTGAATATTATAAATAGATTATAAGAAAATCAATCTTGACAATATATTCTCTTGTGTTCCTCATCTATACGGCTTCTTTTTCTGTTACATACTATAAAGTCTCAGAGGAGGATTTTCTGTCATGTATGTATGTAAACACACCTTCCCATCACATCTTTCAAAGATAATGCCCCTCTGTATTGTCCTTATCTTACAAGAGTGAGGGAATGGCAGCACCTTAGCCTCTCCTCAGCAAGCAATTAATCAATCAATAGAGGTGATTATCACGCTGTATTTAACATTAGTGTGGCCTCACTTTGAGTACTATCTGAAGTTCTAGGCCCCACAAATTAAGAAGGGTGTTAAGGTACTCAAATACTTCCAGAAGAGGACAGCAAAGCTGGTGAAAGTGCTGGAAGGAATGTCCTATGAGGAGCAGCTAAGGACTTTGGGCTTGTCTAGATTGGAGAAAGGGAGCCTGAGAGGTGACCCTATTGCTCTCTACATCTTCCTGAGGAGGGGAAGTGGAGAGGGAGGTGCTGAGATCTTCTTGGTATGCAGTGACTGGATGTGTGGGGACGGTTAAAAGCTGTGTCAGGGGAAGTTCAGACTTGGCATTAGGAAACATTTCCTTACCAAGATGGTAGTCAAACACTGGAACAGGCTTCTTCAAGAAATGGTCAATGCCCCAAACCTGTCAGTATTTAAGAGGCATTTGGACAATGCTCTTAGTAACATGCATTACCTTTTGGTCAGCCCTGAAGTGGTCAGGGAATTGGACTAGATGATCATTGTAGGTTCCTTCCAACTGAAACTATTCTATTCTATTCTATTCTATTCTATTCTATTCTATTCTATTCTATTCTATTCTATTCTATTCTATTCTATTCTATTCTATTCTATTCTATTCTTTCCTTTGCTAGAGACCTTTCCCCTTAGACCTCAACTGCTGGCAAAGGCCCCTGCTTGCTTGTCACAAATGCCACAAAGTCCAGCTCCCCCGAGAAACTGGTTGCTCAAACCGAGTCCAGAAGAGAGATCTGCTAAAACACAATCCTCTCTCTCTGTTCCCTGGCTTGGTGAATGTGACTGAGTGTGACCTGCTGGCTCGACGCTTACGCTAACACTCTGTCCTGGGGAAATGACACCTGAGCATTTCCAGTAAATGCTGCATCCTTTCACTGGCTGCTTCTGGGAACTCCCAGCTGAATCACCCAACCCTCTGCACATGTGTTTCTCACTGTGTCTCTCTGTCTCTGGAGAAACTAATCTGTGTGCACCCTCTCGTAGCATGTGAGGTATGCTGGTACGGCAAATCAGCCAGGTATCAGCCAGACAGAAGAGTATTTTCAGAAACACTTCAATTTGCAGGTCTGTCCCTTTTGCTGTCCTATTGGGAACTGGAAGCATCCCGAGCCTTCAGAGGGAGGTGGTAAATGAACAAAAAATATACTCTTAGAATGCATCTACTCCTGTAGGAGCCACAAGCTTGTATTACTGTCATATTCTGAAGACATAGCCACGTATGTGATAACCACATTGAGGACCATTGCAGCTGGCCCTCTTCTCCATAATGTCCAGGAAAAGGGAGAACAGGAGACGGATTCAAAGGGAAGAGTATCCTCACACCATGCAATCTTGCGCTATTGTAAATACCCACTTTACTGAGGAATATTTCCAGTAGCTGAATCAAAGCACATCATTCAGAAAAACATCCTTTCTTGCTAGAACAAAGTAGGAAGGTGAGATGTCAGTGGACTCCTTTCTGCAAGGCTGGGTTTTCCAGGCTTCATCTTGTTTGAGTGTGTTGTACCTTCACTATCAAGACTGAAAAGCCTCTCCAGTTCCCCTCTGTCAGTTCTATTCTAGGTGGAATCACCCACCCGCAGTGATTAAGTCACTTCTCAGCCTGCTGTCTGACAAGCAAAAAGCATCCTGTCCTCAATCCCTAAAGCTAATTTTCCAGCTGCAGCCTCACTTCCCCGATCCTTCTTTACACCATCCAGTGTCTTCATGTCCTCTTGATGCCCTAGCATAAGCCACTGTAACAGATGCAAGATTGCTTTCCTGATTGCATGTCACTCCACCTTCCATCCCTCTGTGAAAGAACTAGACTTTTCTTGTCACCCCACTGCACAGAGAGCATCTCTTGACATTGCTGACACTGATTCCCAAAGCAGTCTCCCATCCTGTAGATAGACCCGGGGTTTCCTTGAGGTGGAGAGCTTGCAGCTGGGACAGGCTTTCCAGATAGCATTTGTCAGAGCATATGTAGTTAAGCGAACAGAAACGTAAAGAACAGGCTGACTATCCCTACCCCTTGCAAGCCAAGTTTTTCACATGTTCCCCAGTAATATTCCCAAATGAGGTCAAGGCATTTAACTCATTATCATCATAGAGTTCCCCGCCAGACTGAAGGGTGTCCAAACAGATGACAAACACTCTATCTAAGTAATATGGATCATGGAAATCTGCCGCTGAAATAAAGCTGCTTGGACTGGAAGACAGGAGCTATCCCAAGCCAGGAGTGTTACACAACCATTGCCTAGAAAGGAAGAAATCAACAAAACTTCTCTGGTTTAAATTGTAGCAGAAAATTAAGTAAATTAAAACTAGGCTTGGCCAATGACAGTCGGGCTCCAGCATCTGGGAATGGGAGATCATGGTGGTTCTAGTGGCCACAAGCCACCAGGAAATTAAAAGTAGCTTTCTATTTGGGAGGCTGGAGGCCAGCAGCGCCATGGCCCCTACCAGCACTGAATTAGTCCTAGGCTGACCCAGCCTGACAGCATTTCCTGCAACATCTGGATTTTCTTTGGATGTCTCTGCCAAGTTGCAGCTTGTTCCAAGCCTACTGAGCTCATGAGACCTGAAAACAGACAGCTGCCTGGGAGCTGGCAGCATCAAAGGCAAGAACTGTGCTAAGAGCCTGGTTATCCGTTTGCCAGCAACCACGTGGGCATCTGCACAGCCCAGGCGCGGGCTGCCGGGGATGGTCCAGGCTTCGCTCGCGTTAGCAGCCCCACTGCTGTGTGGCAGTGGCAAGGTGCCACAGGGACGGCCAGGTCCCATCCCCAGCCCTGACAGCTTTGCCCAGGGTGGCTGCACGCGCAGAGCAGCCTGCCTTCAAGCAAGCTCCAACAGGAGCTGCTCACAGGGAGGGATTCGCCCTCCGTTACACAAGCGGATGGTGCAGGGGCGTGAGTCACGGCACCCGGGAGGGCAGCTGAGCAAACAGGGCTCCCCCGGGAGAGATGCACCTCTTTGGCCTCTTGGGCCAAGCTTGTCCACAGGCACTGAGTCCAGCCGAATATTCTCCATTTTGCGTACAAATTTCCACCCAAGAAGGGTGCTTTTTTTTTTACAGATCCACTTAACCTCTTAATGTCACAGGGGATTTGCATTGTAACAAAACAACGGATCTGATTTGCTAACAATCATCCTCCTCTAGACTATTGAGATGGTCCTACAAGACACACAGATACACAAGGACATGAGCGAATGCTGCCGTCCCCAGTGGCACCCATGGCAGTGGGTCGGGGTGTCTGTGCTGGCAGTGGCACAGTGGACAACACGCATTACAGGTGTTTCCTCAACAGTGCAGCTACTTGGGTTGAGCTGAGTTCTTGAAGAAGAAAGCAAAGCCCTGCTGTAGTGTTTTTGTGCACGTGGAGGGTGTGCCGTGGAGCCAGAGTGTCTGGGACAGCCACGGTCAGAGGAAGCCGCTGCGGCTGCTCGCGGAGGAGGAAGTCAGTGTCCCAAGGCTGGAGGCAGGGCAAGTGCTGGTTTTTCCTGGAGAGGAGGGGAGGTGGCAGGGGGGAGCCGGAGAAGGGAGCCCAGCCTAAGAAAAGAGCACGGAAGGAAGAGGCTTGGAAAGTGTGCTGCTGATGCGGACGTGGAGGAGAGGGCTGGGAAAGGAGCTTGTCCCTATAGCTTGTCCCTACAGGGAGGAGGATGCAGCTTTTGTGAGATGTGAGAGAAAGGGCTGAAATTTTGAGCAGGGGGGAGTGGAAGAAGCAGGGACATGTCAGACAGACACAGCTGGGGAGGTTGAGAGCTGCTTCCAACTGGAAAATAAGCCAGGAAATGGTGGCTGGAACTGGAGGGTAAAAACCGTGTGAATTAGGAGAGAGGGAAAATGTCACTAGCGACTGAGACTGCCATAAAGGCTTGGGCTGAAATATGTGTGAGCTGAGATGCATCCTGGAGCAGCCAAGGTGAATGAAAACCAAACCTTTGCCTTCAGGTATCTGAAGCAAACACACAATCGGTCTTACTTTATACCCATGGCTTCATTTCACCGTCGTTTTTGTTTTGCTCAGTTAAAACCCTTAAGCTTTACCTGGCACCATTTAAATCCGATGAAAGGAGCACAAGAGCAGGGAAGAGGCATGTAATTTTTGCTGGAAAATCCCCACATGCCTGTACACAAGCAGAGAGCAGACCAAAGTCACAGTCAGGAGCAGGATATAAACATTCAGCAGTACATGGGGCACATCACCAGCATGTGCTGAGGGCATCTCCTTCACTGCATGGAGAAGCCAAGCCAGAAAATATTGGGGTACAGAGCCCCAGGGGCAATGGCAACTAGCCATGAGGCAATGCCAGGGCAGGATTTCTAGGGAGTTTGGGCAGGAGAAGAGGTCTGCTGTGTTGCAGCCACACAGGACATCTCCCCCAAAA